AGGTAACCGCTGTTACTATCGTAACGTCGCCGCTGTTGACTCGCGTTGCCTAGCGACCGCGATATCCCTCGGTGACGTCACCGCGGAGGGGAGTGGCGGGGCGGGAACTCGCCTATTACGCGAGCGTTACGTTACCGCTGGGGAGGTAGGGGTCAACATGTCACAATATATATATACGTATTTCATGTGCTGTTTTGTGCTGTGTCTGCCCCACGGATGCACTAACAGTTGGGCTGTTAAACTTTGGTATCCAGAAAGACTAGAAGCAAAGCAGTTTTATTAGACCTACTACCGTTGCCAAAAACGAACGTTCTACGAGTTTCCGACTTAATATAAGCTAATATAAGCTAGCGAGGCGAAATCATGTCGATCATAGTGGCCGCTCCGTCTAAAGGTTCGGCCACACAGAGCGCTACGCTATGTTCGCTACGTACGCTACATACGCTGTGTACACTCTGCGACGCAGCTAACACAGGGAACATAGCGTACGTAGCGTACAGAAGTCTGTGTGGCCAGTCACATTGGCAATAAAGGGAGATATTTTTCTGTTCGTATAGCGAACATAGCATACGTAGCGCTCTGTGTGGCCGAACCTTAAGGCATGAACTGTCTTCGCTCGATCGAACGCCGTGTTCGTTGGTTGGAATCCCACTCGAGGCATGGATGTCTGTGTGCGTTTATTCTGTGTTTGTTGTTCTGTTTGTAGTTATCGGTCTTGTGACGGGCTGATCCCCTGTCCAAGGAGTCCTACCGACTTTGTATAGGATTCAGAAACTTAAAAAGCGTCCAAGGTCCAATAGAAGGGCTGTAGAGCCGTAGATAGATAGTTAGGCAAAATGGTTTCAGCATTCAATGCAATACGAAGGTGGTTACCATGTTCACAGCCACTGGTAACCATCCTAAGCTACATGAAGTCCACACTGCCCCATTCCTGTTCTTCATGATCCGTTTTGTATTAACCTCCTATGTATGAACAGGTGTTCTGAGTGGTCCCTTTTGTTCAGGTTTTCCTGCCACGACACTATGTGTTTCTCTTCGCTCCCATGCGTGGTGCATACCCCACACATTCCATCCTTCATTTAACAGGGAGTGCAAATTATGAAGCTCCTCATTATGCAGATTTGTCTAAGTCTCTAGGACTTCATCTCGGCTCCCTGTTCTCAGTATCCAGCGTCCTGTCTGTGTGTTTCCTTTAATGTGAGAGATCGACTTTCACACACAATGGGACGAGCCGGAATAGCGTAGTCGCTGTAGCGGCTGGCTACGGGCTGAACGATCAAGGGGTTGGTGTTCGAGTCCCAATGGGGCAAAATTTTTCACTTCTCCGTGTATTCCAGACCGGCTCTGGAGTCCACACAACCTCCTACATAATGGGTAGTGGTGGCTTTTCACCGGGGGTAAAGCGGCAGGAGCGTGAAGCTGACCACTCTCCTCCAGCTAGTGCCGAAGTCAAAATTAGAATGTATATATCCACTCCAGCATACACCTTCATTGCATAGTGCTTAATTAGTTAAGTACAGGGACAACTTTAGCTTTATAATAAATGAGTGAAATTATTATTAATAAATTGTTGGATAGAGGCTAGTGGTCACTGTAGTACCTTGAGGTACACAGAGTATAACTGAAAAGTGCGGACAAGCTTTTGGCACGAGTTCCACATACCAGAGCAAGATTTGTATATCAAAATATGTTCAGAAACATATAATTTGTGAGTTATAGCTAAAAAAGTACATTTATAATAATAAATGATGAAAATGACCTCCACGAAGTTCAATGCACGCCCCGGCACGTGTCATCATGGACCACCGCGTCCGTACAAAGACACCGGCGTGATTGAGGACAATCTGACAAGACATCCACGATGCGACGGTGAAGTGCCTCTTCGTTGTCAACAGGAGTTGCATAAGCAAAAGGGTTTTCGATGTCTCCGTAGTTAAAAACACAGAGGAGTCAATCTGGCGAGCGCGGAGGCCACGCAGTGGGTCGTCCTCTACTTATCCATCGGTCGCGGTAGGTGTTACTGAGGACATCCGCGCAGCACGGAGCATGTACCACTCACGTGCTCTGCTGCTATTGATGCAGTGACGATTCTTCCTTTAGACCACGGTCTCTTCCTTCCAGATCTCTTCCACTTCATCATCCCAACATCATCAGACCATTCAATGATGGCCTCTATCATCTTAAATACGGACATAATGGGTACCGGAGGCATTTTCCTCTGGGGCAATGTGAATGGGGCATGAAGCTGATCGTACACGTCCACTGGCTGTCGAGGTTAAGAATACTCGGATCTCCATGCCCCCCTACATATTTATGGCGTGGTGCTTAATTAATTATGCCCAGGGACGACTGTGCTAATGGCGTCGTGAAATAACCCGCAGACCAAATGAGCGTAAGGTTGTGAACACGCTACTGACGTGTTGCGTGGGATGGGAACATGCCCCTTCCGACGCTACATCAATGCAGATGACAGTGGCTTCATATTTCCAGATGTGTTGTCCTTGGGATGCCCCTCCCCTTCTTCCCCCCTCTGACGATAGGATATGTCGCTGTCGGGTGTACGAAGCACATGTCCAAACGGTAGTGTTCTGCGAACCGAGATGTGTGGTGGTGCTGTTTGTGTAGCGGCGTCGTGGCTCACAGTGCTTGCTTAGGTGCCCGTGTGTGCAAGAGAATGAAGTTAGTTTTCCATATGTTTCCACTTGGAAGTCTTGTGATACAAACGCTGAGAATTTTCTTTGTCTTTGTGGAGAAATTATTTTCTTCCCGCATTGGGTTAGAGTAACGGTTCCCAAAGGGGGCGATGAGATTACCTAGGGGAGCGCTAAGAGACAAAGCGGCTGGAGGTGGGCCCAGCCGATCGCGTTTTTCACTTATTTAGGATTGAAGTGACTCTAGACCAGAGATTGGGAAACTGGTATCACTTCAGCAAGTCCATCCGTTGCATTAAGAATTTACAAACAGTGAAGTAAAGGAAGGATTTTTGTTTTGTTGACCGGTTCCACGGCGACCGGAACGCCACATGCCGCCAAGAGCGGATTAATCAGCATGGATGACGGCCGATAGCGTTCGGAATGAAGTAGTTACATTTCACAGATCATATGAGATGTTAAAAATTCCGTTCCTACACACGTATATATCTTTGTAAATTCATTGTTTCGTTAAAAAACACAGGCACAACAATCCTTGCACCTACAGCTCGCCAGACACCAACTGGCAGTGGATGGAAGAGGTCTTAATGGTTTAGATCTGGATTCTGTGAAGTGACCGATCGGACGTGAAATGAACTTGAATGCCGTCTGTCAAAATATGGTCTATTCGATTGTGAGTCTTTCCATCAGGAAATTTTCAAGTAAAGTTATTAATATTACGATGTGGGAACATTGTACTTTTGACAATAAGATTTTTGGATGTGGCAAAGTTTACTACTCTAACTCCATTATCATTACTAATGTCGTGTAAACTCTCATTCCAAATTGTTGCTTTTGAAAATGTCTTACGTACTTTGGCATTGAAATCTCCCAACAACATTTTCGTATGCTATTTCGGAAATTTATCAAATGTGCGTACTTTCTAGTTTCTGGTAGAAGCTGCCCATCATATGATAAATTTTATTTTCTGGTGGGTGTCTGTGGTCTAGTGGTCAGAGTTCCTGGCTACAGATCCAGAGCTTCCGGGTTCGATTCCCGACGCTACCAGATTTTGTGAGAAGTGGTGGGTCTGGAACGGGGTCCACTCAGCCTCGTGGGGATAATTGAGGAACTACTTGAATGGAAAAGTATTGGCTCCGGTCTAGAAAACCGAGATTAACGGCCGTGGGGATTCGCTGCGCTGACCACGCGACACCATCTATCCGCCAAAGTTGGCACTAACTACGCCGACAAGCGGCGGTCGTATGGTCGCTATAGTTCGCTTGCCGACTAAAACCACGGAGTTTGTTTTGTTGGTTGAAGGATTACAACAGTGACCCTCGAAAGGAAGACAAATTCTTCGTAGGGAAATTGCAAATATTCCCTTAACAACTTCAGAGGGTAAATCAGAACATCTTCCGCTGGTGCGAGGAATATCAGCGTGTAGAGGGACAGCATTTTCAACATCTCCTGTGATCTGTGAACTGAAACTACTTCATTCCGAACGTTATCGGAAAGGGCGCGAGTGTGAGCACTAATAGGACATATAGTCTGTCCTATTAGCCATCCCGGTAATACGTGTAGGTTGGCCATCACTCGAGACACAGAAATAAATATAGATTTCTCTTTAGGATTTTAGGTTATAACAGCTGTAATAGGAAGAGCACTGTCTTCTGGGATATAACACCATGTAGTCGCCTAGGAGCTCGCCTACAAGTGTGGACTGTCTCCATCTTCCGCGTCGTAGAGCACTCGTAAGCCAAGAGAAGGCTGCGTGCCACTTGCTTCTTCGAGCTGGGTGAGCCCCAGAACCTGTATGTTATTGAGAAAAATATTTTGCCTCTCCAGGGAATCGAACACCGGCCGCCCAGCTCTTTGCCCGTCGCTATACCGACTGACCTATCCAGGTTCTCTTTTCATTCATTCATCAATGGCTCTACAGCCTTTTGTTGGTCCCTGGCCTCTTCTTCAGTCTAGTAATCTTTTTTATTTTTTTGCACAGAAAGTAGGACTCCTTGGACAAGTCATCAGCCCGTCGCAAGGCTGCTACCTACAAAAACAATAAACGCACACACAAATATCCGTGCCTTTGAGTTGGATTCGAACCCACGATCCCAGCGTTCGAGCCATCGAATACAGTTCATGTCTTAGACCGCGTGGCCACTGTGAACGGCATCCCGGCTCCCTACCATAGCCTGATTTAAGGTACTATAAAGGTATTTGCCTGCAGGTAATGAAAATTACGAAAGACCTCAGTCAGGACAGCCGGTGTACCTTCCGATTGCAAGAGAGAGGCGCCATCGCCTGAACCTAGTTGTGCAGTATATAGGGCTATTCTGTTTGCTTCTGTAGAAGCCGTTCCGTGAGATGTGGCTTATACTCGAAAGTTCTTCTGTTGGACTGGCATCAGTGGGTGGGTTTGTATTGTAACTGGCTAAGTTCAAGTGCCCGTTTTCTGTTACTCTTCTTGAAGAAGAAAGTAAAGAGACGCATTGTGAGAAATGGTTACTTCGAGTTAGCAGTACTTTGCGAAAGTTGCGACCTTGGTGAACGCTCCCGACGGTTTTCACGGGAACACCGCGCTTTTCAGAGTATCGTTGGAGTTTTATGTGACGTCTGTTGAAATGCCACCGACAGTGACCCCGGTAGTCCCCAGGAGAAGGGCCATGCGATGGAAGAAGCGACCTGGCCGATGTGGACCACTGTTGGCGCCGTCTAGTGGTGATGTCAGCAAACGTCCCAGGGGACTCCTTTGCACGCAGCGATGGGTGAGCTGCCTCAGCTGCACGTCGCGACGCCTCTATGATCCCCTCGGAGAAGTGCAATTTAATCCTGTCTCCAAATTTAGGTTCGACGCCATCCGTCCAGCTGTGCAGTACAGGTAATGTTAACTGTGTAACGTCCGCTCCTTGTACGGATTTGCCTCCTGGCGACTATTGTTGCAGTGATTTATGGACTGCAGTCATGTTGAATATTACCTGTGACTTTAAACTTCGTTTTGCTGAAAAATTCTGTGTGTGTTAATACTCAGCCTCGGCTGACATGGTATATTCATAGATTCACATTTATTTGTACAGGCAGTCCGCTCTTGTGCGTAGCTACGTTCTTGGAGAAGTTTGTGAAAGCGAAATTTTGTAATAGGAATCTATATATCCCATAGGCGCAACGTCATAATTGGGGGCTTACCTTCCCGAACTACTAAGAAATGACCGAGAAAATGGAAATCACGAATTTTATTGCCTTAAATGAACACGTTAGCGTCGGAATCCCTCCGCTGCTTTAGATAAAATAGCAATACAGTGGTTTTAAAACAAACTCCGTGGCTTTAGTTCGCAAACGACCTAGCTTGTTGGCGAAGTTAGTGCCTATGGTCTAGTGGTCGCAGTTCCTGGCTACAGGTCCAGATGACCCTGGTTCGATTCCCGCCTCTACCAGATTATCTCAGAAGTAGCGGGTCTGGAACGGGGTCCACGCAGCTTCGTGAGGATAATTGAGGAGCTGCTTGAATGGAAAAGTAGCGGCTCCGGTCTAGAAAACCAAAATTAACGGCCGTGAACATTTATTGCCCCGACCACGCGACACCCTCTGTCCGCTAAAGGTGGCAATACAGTTGTTAGAGTCGGTAAAAGAGAAAACTGTTTTACAAGATGCACGCCAGAGCAGAGCGTAAGGCGAACCGACTGGGCGACGTTGCGTTCATATGTTTCCGTTCTCTTTCGCTCGTGTTTGTTTTTAGTCTGAGGAGTTGGCCGAGTTCGGATAGCAAGCCAGGCGAAGTTCCGTACTACTTAATCTTCGTGAAGCGAGGAGTATCTGTGTCGGACCTTTTTTTTTTCTGGCTTGCATCCACACATTCACCTTTCCCTCCTAGGTATTTTTTTTATTGCTAGTGGGGTGAGACTAAGTTCCTTGTACTGCGGCCACTTCTGGCCTGTTGTATCAGCCCCAGATGATTGGTGAGGGTGATTGTGGAGCAGTTCGTGGAATGAAAATTGGCAGGAGAAACCGAAGTACTTGGAGAAACCCTGCCCGAGCGCCACTTTGTACACCACAAATCCCACTTGACCAGACCCGGGATCGAACCCGGGCCGCCGCTTGAGTTATGGCGCGGCCTTCCCTCCTAGGTAAGTCTTATAAGTCTTCTAACATTTTCATCCATATATTTTGTGTTAGGGCTGTTGTTTGTGATTGCAGTTCTGTAGGTGAATAATGGTGGCGAGGGCATTATTGCTGTAATTATAATTACGGTGCTCCCGCAGGTTGCGGATGGGACAGTCCAGATATTGAGAGTAGCCGAGGGTGTGTTGTAAGCAGTCGCGATTATTATCCACTGTCGTGCCTGATTGAACGCCTCGGGGATTGCAGCCACAATGAAGAACCTTATCCTCTATATTTATTGTACATTTAAAGACACTAAAAGTAGCTGCCAGTCACGGTAGCCGAGCGGTCTAAGGCATGAACTGTCTTCGCTCGCTCGGAAGCCGGGATCGTGGGTTTGTATCCCACACAAGGCCTAGATGTTTTGTGTATATATGTTTACTCTTTGTTGTCCTGTGTTTAGTTAGAGGCCTTGCGACCAGCTGATCACTCGTCCAAGGAATCATGTTGACTTTAAAATGATAATGAAACCGAAAATCAAGAGGCCAGGGCCCAAGGGGCTGTAGAACCAGTGGAAGGAAGAAGTAGCTGTCTCTACCTACAGTCGAAACTTAGGATGGTTAGTGAATAATGAATTGTAAAGCATGTGGAAGGAGAAGTCATGTCGTAATTTCAGATACTGAGCATTTGCCCTGAACGACTGACGAAACGCACGCAAATATATCACTCAGAATCGTGAATCGCAGGGCAGAGAATCGAACCCGGAACATGTTTGTCATAAGGAAGATATGCACCGCTCACGCCCACCATATTCTAGAGAACGTGTAACAGAAGATACTTAACCGATCAGAATGGCGATTGAGGGAAATGAATGGGTGGAAGGACGGACATTACGTTCCAGTCTACTTGGTTCCTCGACATCTTCGTGAGATGAAACAAAAGTAGAAGACCTTTTCGTTGTGCTGTGATTTGAAATGCATTCCTCGTGTGAGACACTTCTGAACCCAACCCAGTTCTCCGTTTGGTTGCCCGAACGTCACGTGAATGTTACAGGAACCCGTGGCCTGATCTTCTAAACCAGATATCCAGATGAAAGTAAATACACTCCGCTTCACCTGTTTGCGGGTGCGTGGATCGTGCTGGAAGCCCGTTCTCCGAGGTTACGTGACACTCAGAGATGCCTGCCGCACCCTCTCCCATGTTGAAACTCTGTTCATGTAGTTCAGGAAGTTCTTTGTCACCTCCCCCTTTGAATACTGAACATTCTGTTGTGTTCGACTGGATGGCTCTGTAGATACCTGACGTAGAAGGAATGAAGGACAGTAGTAGGGAGACGCCCTATAATTCGGTGGAATTCTACTGACGTTTAAGAGGAAGTATGTGGAGGAACACTATCACAGCGGCATGGCGCATGCTCAGTTTGCGGATGGGGAGATGGCCTCCAGATATGGAAGGCAGCTGCCAGTATATTGAATAAGCAATTGCGGACAGCTGACAAGGGATAGTCATCCAGATTGCGGGTAAGACGTGGGGCCAATAACTCCCCACTGTAACAAAGACGATTGTTACGAAATGCCACATAGGGCCTCAGAATAGGACACACTGTTTGGATAAACGACCTGAGCCATGGAAAATGGACATGTGCAGTGGGTTTCAACCTTTGTGAGACCGCGGCTAGCTAAATTCTTTTCTTATAGGACGAGGGCCCGGTATAATTGATGCCAGGATCCGGTACCGAGCCGCGGCCCGGCGGTTGAGAAACAATGCTGTAGAGAAGAGACAAATCTGTGGCCTCTGTCGGAAATCGAACCCCGGCTGTCCAGCCTGTAGGCCGCCGCTATACTGACTGAGCTATCATGACTCAGTGCAGACCAGCTCAGATGTTTCGGCTTAGATAAACCCGGTCCTACTATATCAACACAATGTGTGGTGCTCTTATGGCCTAGCGAAAGGAGATTTGAAACTCCAGGGCTCCAAGGCGCCCCGTCGAACTGAAGCAACCGAAAATTTTGAAAAGAAACACAGCTTGTCCAGCGTTTGGCAAGTCTCGCTTGGAAACGCTGAACCAGCAGTTGCGACAGGTGTAGTAATTGTTCACAGTTTACTGAAGTTGTGAAGAAGTGCTGACTCGCAGAATCTTCCGTTATATAACCTTTAGGTCGGTGACTATGGACAGTCGAATGCCAAACATTAACTAGTTGCTAAGTTAGGCTATGCCCGATAGCCTACCGACGCCTGTTAACCCCCACATGGGCATGAACGACCCTCTTAGTTGCGGTAGCAATAGCGTCATGTCACCCCTGAACTCGGGGGACGCCTGTGGTGGCGACGGCATCCTAAACGACGACGCGCTCATGTCGCTGTCTGTGCGGGAGCTTAACAGGTGGCTGCGGGGGTTCCCACTGGAGGAGGTGGTGCGTCTGAAGCAGAAGCGACGGACGCTGAAGAACAGGGGGTACGCGGAGAACTGTCGCAGCAAGCGCCTGCAGCAGCGACACGAGCTCGAGGTGACCAACAGGAACCTGCGGGCAGAACTACACCGCCTCGAGTTACAGCTGAGCCGCGTGACCCAGGAACGCGACGACTACAAGCATCGGCTGGATCTCATGCGAACCGGCGGCTGTTCCGACGGCGTCCACAGTTCTCTCAGCTCCTCCGGACACAGCAACCCCAGCTCGCCGGAGTTCTACCTGTTACCTCGCGGTGGTTGGAGCTGAGCAGTGAAAAAAGTGCCTACTCGAGGACGCGGCGACCCGTGACGTTTCTTGCCGTAGCGACTGCCCCGAAAACTCGTGAAATTGCCTTTAATTTCATAAGTGAATAGCAGCAGAACTATTCGTCTCCACTGGGATTCACCCAGTTAATTATATCTACATTGTGGCTTTACGTTGGCTTACGTTTCTGAGCTGTAAGGTAAGCCGCACACCGGCATGTGTCAAGACATGTAACAGTCAAGACACGATGTCTGCGACATGACGCAAATAAACGAATGAGAATATAAAAACCGCCGCACACCGGTCTGAGTCATGATTCTGACGTCAGCTTCATGCTGACGAATCACAAATGAAGCAAGACTGCGTCTTTTGTCCCATGTCTTGATGCTTGTCTTGATGCAGTTGGTGTGCGGCCGCCCTAAAGCTTGAGGGTGACTTTGTATGCCGTGAGGTGTATTGGTAAACAAGTAGCGTAATGGAATTCTAAGAGAATCGAAGAGAATTTTTGCCAATGAAAGCAAAGATTGTGCAGTTTTTTTTTCAGAGAGCTTCCGCTATTCTCAGAATAATTGATGAATACGCTTTTTTAACTTATCATAAAATATTACAAATGAACAGTGTTTATGTTGAACCATTAATAAATTGTAACACTTTCTGAAATAATGAATACTACTAAAATGGATCATAGAGAGATAGGATGGAGTGGTGTGGACTGGATTTATCTGACTCAGGATAGGGCCCAGTGGAGGGCTGTTGTGAACACGGTTATGAGCCTTCGGTTTCCATAAAATGCTGGAAAGTTCTTGAGTAACTTCGTGACCAGCTGCTTCTGGAGAAGGTCTCAGCTCCATGGAGTTAGTTTGAACAAATAATGCGAATTAGTATTATTATTTTCGGATATGCTGCATTTCAGATTTGGAACAGCCTTTGCTCAGTTCTGTCTTTTGACGTGAATAAATTTGAGCAAGTCAGGATAGAGCCGGGCTACACCCTGCTTACCACAATTAAACCTGAAGCAATGCACGTTATTTTCCTAGGGAAATTAGCACACGTACAGGTCGACGAAGAA